ACCAGCAAACCTCCCCATCAAAGCCCCATACATAAGCATCAAGATTAATTAAAATGACTTGTATGTTCAGTTGATGATGTGATGCTGCCAGATTGGTTGCCTACATGTCAGTGTCACATGCCTAGTGCCAATTAATCATGGCTGACTTAATGGGCAACCATCTTGAATCAGGGGGACTGTAATATCACAATATGAGCAGAGTTGAAGGTACTGTGCACCATACAGTATTGGGCCCTTCAGACATAGAACTGAGATAGGAAAGCATTTTTCTTTCACATATTCTATTTTGCAGTTGGAATCTGATCTGAGGTGCTCAGACCCCTTGGTGATCAGCATGATATAAATGGAGATAGAGAGAGATTTTACAAATTTGAGACATCGTTCCACAGCCACTTCTGCAGCCATAGCATCATGGATGAGGGAGATGATGATCATAATAAACAACTTAGCACTTAATAGTGCTTTACATTGCCAAAGTGTTGCATACATAATGCATTAACCAATTAATCCTCAACACCCTAAGAGACATTTTCATCCCCATTTTCTACATACAGGAGACCGAGCCTAGCTCAACTGATATGATATCACAGCAGCCTCCTGCTTCTTCTTCCAACAACCCTGTGCCAAGTAAATATCTCTGGGCACTTTCGTTTCTTACTCAAGCCTCATGAAAGATCCGGGAAATGGCATTAGCTTGTGGGTGTGGCCTGGAGAGATGGAGTGAGAAGGGAGGGAGGTGGAAAGATACTGTGTCTGTATGCTGTAAACTGTAGACATAATATCACTTCAAGGAAGGAAAAAAGCAGATACCTGAGACTGTAAGACTGTTCAGTTCCAGACACAGTTATTCTCCAAAAGCACTGACCAGAAGGTAAGGATGAGGCATGCAGGGTGAGTAGTGTGAATGGCTATAAATGGTTCATCACAAACATTTTATTCATTGCTGCTCTCACCCTCAAGGGAACATGGAGGGGATAGGGAGACAAGAGAAAGATACCTCCTAAAGGGAACATATAAGGTGTGTGTGGGTGTGTGTGTGTGTGGGGAAATTGTGGGGAAAGCAAGAAACACCATGCTGTGTCTGGAATGAGCTGAGATTTGCTTTTTAAAAGGAGTAATAATCATGGAATGTATTTTTTCCAAGGAAAAACCTGCAATCAGAATTAATGCTGGAGAAGTAATTTGAAAACTTTTGGGGACCACACATAAAATGTCTAAATCAATTCCTTCTGCAAGAACCAAGCAGGGAAAAGTTCCTCAGAGGAAAGCTGGGGACAGTAGAGGCAGAAACTCAAAGCCTGATGAGGGGACAGAAAACCCAGGAGTTATGGGTGCTCAGTCTGTGTCACTAGCAGCAGAATTTGCAGTCACCACATCTGGAAGAAAGTTGAGGGCACCAGAGGCTCCAAGTACTCAAGACTCAGAGTGCTCACAGCAGCCCTCAAAGACATGTCTACAGCTGAGGAGGGCTGGTTCTGCAAAACTAATAGACGAATCTGGAGGTTAGTGCATCTCATTTCATCTGGGTGCTTGTTGTTAAAGCTCATTTAGAAATGCTGCAGGCTTCATATTGCTGCCTTAAAGAAAGGAAACAAACAAAGCCTATCTATCTATGTCATGATGATCTTATTGCCCCTACCTGGAGCTTTAAGTAATAGTGCCACTAAATAGTTCAGTTTTTTGTGTCCTCTCTCTCAGGCTGTCCTAAGATCAGGATATTGGGAGAGAGTGTGGTGGATGGGTGGGCACAGCCGGATGAGGTGAGACAGCTGCAGCAGTTGGGGATCAGTGATGTGGCTTTATCTGTTCTTCCCTCTGTATGTTCTGTACTATACAGAGACAATAATTCAAGGCCATATTATTACTACAAAGATTTGGACTTTCTAGCTGTTGTTACTATGGGTTCCTGCAAACTCTTACCCATGCCAGTACAGCAGGTCCTCACTATAATGCCCTGCAAAATAGGCTTGGGACCCTATCAAATTCACGGGCCATTTTGGTCAATTTCACAGTCACAGGATTTTTAAAATAGTAAGTTTCATGATTTCAGCTATTTAAATCTGAAATTTCATGGTGTTGTAATTGCAGGGGCCCTGACCCAAAAAGGAGTTGTGTGTGGGGGATCACAGGTTATTGTAGGGGGGGTTGTAGTACTGGTACCCTTACTTAGGGTTGCCAACTTTCTACTCACACAAAACCAAACACCCTTGTCACACCCCTCCTTTGAGGCCACGCCCTCCTCGAGGCCCTGCCCCTTTTCTGAGGCCCTGCCCCTGCTCACTCCATCCCCACTCCCTCTGTCACTCTCTCTCCCCACCCTCATTCACTCACTCATTTTCACTGGGCTGGTGCAGGGGCTTGGGGTGCAGGAGGCGGTGAGGGGTCTGGCTGGGGATGTGAGCTCTGGGGTGGTGCTGGGAATGAGGGGTTTGGGGTGCACAAGGGTGTTCCGTGCAGGGACCGAGGAGTTCGGAGGACAGGAAGAGGATCAGGGTTGGGGCAGGGGTTTGGGGTGCTTACCTCAGAGCCAGCGCTTGGGGCAGGGGCAGTGTGTGGAGCCCCCTTGCCCCCTACGTGTAGGAGCCAGAGGGAGGTCATGCTGCTGCTTCCAGGAGCCACACAGAGCCACAGCTGGCAGGGAGCCTGCCTTATCCCGCTGCGCCACCAACCGGATTTTTAATGGCCTGGTCAGTGGTGCTGACTGAAGCTGCCAGGTTCCCCTTTTGACCAGGCATAAACCGGACACCTGGCAACCCTACCCTTACTTCTGCGCTGCTGCTGGTGGCAGCACCGCTGTCAGAGCTGGGTAGCTGGAGAGTGGCAGCTGCTGGCCTGGAGCCCAGTTCTGAAGGCAGAGCCACTGCCAGCAGCAGCATGGAAATAAGGATGGCATAGTATGGTATTGCCACCCTTATTTATAGGCTGCTGCCTGCAGAGCTGGGCGCTTGCCAACAGCTGCTGCTCTCTGGCCGCTGAGCTCTGAAAGCAGTGCAGAAGTAAAGGTGGCAACATGGCAACCCCCCTAAAATAACCTTGTGACCCCCCTACCCCCTCAACTCCCTTTTGGGCAGGACCCCCAATTTGAGAAACGCTGGTCTCTCCCATGAAATCTGTACAGTACAGGGTAAAAGCACGCAAAAGACCAGATGTCTTGGGGGAAGACCAGGTCCATGACGCATTTTTCATAGCCATGAATTTGGTAGGGCCCTAGCTATAGTGAATGTTGTCCCTGGATCACACCTCCAGCCCTGCCTGCTGCAACAAGGGACTAAGAGCTCCTCCAGCCTTGGGTCCATGTCTGGGTTAGAATGCTCCTCCAGCCTTGGGGTTACAGCAGGAGGAGCTCTGCCTCCCGGACATGGCCCTGGGGCTCAGGAGCTCTGTAACTGCCCGAGGGGTTCATTATAGGGAGGGTGTACTGTAGTCCTATTGACATTAGGAGGTCTACTCATGTGAGTAAGGGACTGCGGGGTCAGACCTCAGACACTTCCCTGAACATACAGATAGGAACCAGACAATGGTAGATATTTTGCACATATCTCTTAATAATTGAGACAACCTGAAAAGTGTTTGAGCTCAGATACCACATGCTGGGTCCCTGAAATCCATCCTATTTTAATCTCCACTTCAAATAAACCCAACAAATTTAAGTCTTTTTATCGAGACATTTTTAAAAAAATTATTATTGGACTGGTTTTGGTCCTGCATTTTTAACTATAGTGGGTCAAAAAATATTTTTGTTTGTTTGTCTCCATGGAAAATGTTGATGAAAATGAAAAAAAAAACCCATCATCAGAATTTTTTATGGAACATTTTTCCACAAACCAAACCACAACAAAGCAACAAGTGAAAATGTTTCCATTTGGGGTTTTTCACCCCAAATATGACATTTCTGTTGAAAATTTCATTGTATTAGAAAACTCAATTTCCGTTGAAAAACAGCTTCAATGGCCATTTTTCAACCAGCCCCATTTATAGCCCTTTCCCAACTTTGGTGCCTCCTCTCCCCACTAGCTACAGTTAAACTTCTGGAGGCTTGTTATGGTTTGTTTTTTTTAATGTATTTTAAATGGTTTTTATGTTGAAGTAATGAAGACACGCCCGGAGCTCACATTTGCAGGCTCTCTGCACTTGCAGCAGTAGCATCTGAGTTTTGCACCTGCTTCGCCATGAAGTTCCAAGTGTCCATAGAGATAAACATGAAAACCCAGCTGACTACAGATCCGTCCCACTACTTACATGCCTCACATGGCATTAGCCAGGCTTCATTCATTAATGTTTGTAGAAAAGCCAAGTTTATTAATGATTAATTATAATTGTCATTATACTGAGGTAATAGAACTGCTTTTAGCTAGATACTGTGTAAAGGATCACAGGGAATTCTGGGATGCATCTGCAATGACTTGTAACTCTCTCTATGTAAAGGCAAAAGAATCAATAAATGAGTTTGTTACTAGCAATAAAGCTAAGACCTTGGGCATTCTTTAGGAGCTACATCTGAGGTACCTGAAACAATGCCAGCCAAAAGCCGGAGAAAGCAAAGTAACTGGGCTCCTGAATGTGAGAAGGAAAGAAAGATTCCTCAGAGAATAGCCAGAGGAGAGAGAGGCAAAGGAGCACAGGATGAGGAGGGGATAGAAGGCTCAGAATCGGTGGCTATTCTGTCTCCATTAGCCCCAGAGCAGCTCTCTGCGCACTGCTCACACCCCAAGCAGACTGGATCTGCCCAAAGAAGGAGAGAATCTGCAGGTTGGTGCAGGCAATTGCTGATTGGATGAGTAATCTAGGAGAGTGTCAGTCACACTTCCTATTGTTTCACCTAAGGAGGTGAAGCAAAACCTTGCTGTATGTGCTGTGATTATGTTATCCCTTCCTGTTGTTATTACTATTATTGGGAGTGCCCAGTCAAGCCATGATCCTATTGTGTTAGATGCCATACAGGCAAGTAATCTGGAGATAGCTCTTGTCCCAGAGAGCTCACTGTATAGGTCTATGACAAGATGCAGCAGATGGATGAGTCAAACAAAGAGGATGAAAAAGTAGGAGTAAAATGAGCCCCCTTTGTTTTGCCACTGGGAAGCAGGGGGGAGGGGGGATCAAAAAAAAAAAAAAAACCCGAACACCATAAAGGCTACATTTTTCATAGAAAAAAATCATAAGGGGGGGGGAAACTGTTATGAAAATTTCCAATTTTGAAAAAAGGCTTTTTCAACAACCACCAACAAAGCAACTACCAACAGACCACAGCAAACCACACACCCTCACACGCATCCAGCAACCACAACCCACAACCACAACACATTTTTCTTCAAAATATTTCAATCAGATCTATTTCCTCCGACATAAAATGTGTTTGTTTTCATTGCTCCTTTGCCTTTTAAGTTTGCTACATTACCTGTCAAACCTTTTCATTAACCTAGGTTGCAAGGGCCGGGGCAGTCTACCTGTTACGTGTCCATACAGCACCTAGCATGATGTCTCCCTACCTTAGATATTTATATGCCCCCTCCCATTACTGTAGTATCTGAGCATCTCACAGTCTTTAATGCATTTATTTTCACAACACCCCTGTGAGTTAAGGGAGTGCTATTATCCCCATTAGAATAACAACAGGAGGAGATCATTCCTGGAGCTTTAGCTAGTGGGTTGCCAACAGATGGTGCAAGTTACTCTCCTGTCTCCCTCACTTGGGCTTCCCTCTTGGGTTCAGGATATTGGGGTATCAAGAAGACACGGCTTTGGTGGGTGAGATGGCTGTTACAGTAACCCTGGCCATCCTAAATGGGCATCATGTTTTCTTTCCACTGGTGGATTATGTGCAATGGAGAAATAATAAAGACCTTTCTGTTGGCTCAGGCATCTGGCTATTTTTATTGTTGCTGCACTTGTTCTAGGAAAGAATCAGACACAACACTGGAGATGAAGGTGGATGTTGGACACTGGAGAATGTTTTCGTAATATCATTTATCTGGACTAAGTAATGGAGGTGCAGCACCTCCTGACAGGGAATACCATTCAGACCAGCCTTGTTTCAGGCTGAGGTAGAGGCATCTATCATGTAAATTAATTCTGAACCATGTCAGCAGGGTGCATATACTGAAGGGATAATGTGTGGATGATATATTTCATTACTCTAGTCCTTATTTATCTACTTCAACATTTTTTTTAAAACAAGGAGTTCTAGTGGTAATTGACAAATGTCTGTATAATAGAAGGACATGATTATCCAAGGGGCTCAGGAGGCACTTGAATCCATTGGATAATCAGGAGCTATTGGGTTAGCTAGGGACCAGGGGTCAGCACTAGAAACTTGCTTGGAACTCTGATCTCTTTTACAGTGCAGTGAAGACAACACTAAACCTAGCAGATCTGGGACTCAATCCTGCAAGGTGCTGGGACTTTTCCAAGGTGCTGAGTCCCCTCTACCCGCATTCAAGGCAGTGGGAGCTGAGGGTTCTCAGCACCTCAGAGAGGGTACATTTTGGAAAAGCCAGAACATATCTTGTCTCTTGGCCTTTGGTTTCTGTCCTCTCTTAAATGTTCCCTTATAGGACACCTTGGACAACTCTATTCCAGGTCCACCTCTGTTGACCTGTGTGAGAGCTCAGAGATAGCAGCAGCTGTTCTCACCACGCCAAGTCAAGATGTCGCTCTCCGCATTAAAGAGAGGGTAAAAGCCCTCCCTCTGAAACACGAGGAGAGAACCAAGGCTGCTGGAATAATTAATGGGTTCATTGACCCATTCATTAGCTACCTGAAGGAGTATCCAGAGAGGCCCTACTTTAAGGAGGTGACCAAGTTGACCACGGGCAGCTACTATGAGTTTGTGAAAGTGAGTAACTCTCTGCTAACTGTCCTAATAGCATCATGAATTGGGATCACAGTGCTGTCATTTTATCCAGCAGGACTAACACAAAGGAGAGACAGGTCTAGCATTCAGTATGGGAAGGAGATCCCCAGATTCACTGCTTTTCAGCTGATATGGCCAGATCCTGCCTTCAGCTATGCCCATCTATCTAAGGTTTTTCTATAGTGCCTAACATTGCGGATTTTTTTATATAGCAACTTTTACCACAGAATGTTTTATATATTGTCTGTCACTGTGGTGATTTTAAGGGATTGCAAGGGTATAACTGTATTTGCCCATAGTTATAGCTTTCTATCCAGATTCCTAAGAGCCAGAATCTGATACTCTTACTCACTTTGAGTAGCACTTTAATCCTCAAGTAGTCTCTTTGACTCAGTGATTAGTCAATAGGACCACTATTAGAGTAAATTAAGATACTTATCATGGTGGGTTAGAGTATCAGAATCTGGTTCTAAGTAGTGAATTCAGTTCACTGTCCAGATGCTTTATAGTGCTTGTGCTGTGTTGGGGTCAGTTTATATTCATATTTCATTCATATTCATAAGTCTGAGGATCTAGCTCTCTCTATACAGAGCTATACCTACAGACAAAGTAGAATCACTTTATCTACTGCTGAAGAGCAGCCTTCTACGAGGCATAGGTGGCAGCTGTTTAACTGCCCCCAACTGTATTACACAGAAATAGTGTAGAAGTGAAGGAAAGCTTATATCCATAAATACAGGGAGACTTTAGAGCTACAGGTGTAATTAGCAAGATTGGGATTAGGCCAGGATATCATATCTAATATCCTAACTCTTGCAAAAAGTGACATGGAACCTTTAATGACCACATTTGTTCAGGGCTGAAATGGCACGTCTAGCAGCATGGTGACCCACATGCCACATTAAAGCAATGGTTTAGTGCTAACTTGGAGGACAATCGCATATTGAATCACCAGTATCAGCTCCTGCATTCAGGTGACCAAGGAGTGACTTAAAGCTGCCCTAGCTGGGCAGCTGAGGATTCTCCCAGCATGAGAGACTCTTTGGCTGATACAGAGCCAGTGTAGCCATCTCTATGCCATCCACCCCACCCTATAAAGGGGCATCTCAGAAATATGCTGGGGTAGCAGGGGTGCATGGGGGTGTGGCCAGAGTTCATGGTGCTTTGGCAGTCTCCACTGGCATAACAGCTCCTAGGGAGCTATTGCAAATCAGCCTAACGTTGAGCTGCTAACTTCTGCAGGGGGCTGAACTGGCCCCTGGCAGCCCCCAAGGTCGGTACAGCAGAAAAGTGCCACACCTCAGGCCATTATTCCTTATGGATAAGTTGACCAGCACTATCTACAGCCATCAGAATCCTTCCCTGATACGTTCTCTGGAAAAGCTCAGGAAGCTAATGTGAAATAGTGGGGACAGCCCAATCTGCCACAACAGCAAATGAGCGGCCAGGATTCTGTCCTCCCTATATGCCTGCTGCTTGCACAGTTATTCAGTTGCACAGCCTCTAATGATGAAACCTTTCCTATAGATTGCTCACCCAGATGAGTTTGACCTGATGCTGGCTCTGCCAGTTCCAAGATATGTTAAGTACACGGAGGTGGATGACTGCAATGGGCTCTACTACAAAGTTACTTTACCGAGGAAGCCCCGGAGCTTTCCCACACCTTTCCTGCTGGAGGATAGGAGTACCGTGTCACCTGTGAAAGTCCTAAAGGAATTCAGGAAACATGTCAGTCAGTTCATCACATCATCCTACAAAGGTAAGCAAGTGCCTCTGACTGCAGATATTCCTGATCAGCCTTTTCAGCATGTGGGTTGTGAGCAACTTTGCCTGCCATTAATATTATTAAATAGATAAAATTGTGAATGAATATAGTGGGTATGAAAGTACGGGATGGAAAAGCGCTGCCTTGAACCATGCACTGGGTAAACTTCACTGGCAAAGCCACCTATCCCACTATCTTATGTCTAGTCAAGCAAATGTGATATTGTTTTTGATGAGATTACCAGTTTGGTAACTGTATTGACATAATATGCTTAGACTTCTTAAAGAATTTGACTTAGTACTTCTGGACATTCTGATTAAAATTCAGCACTATACAAAATTAATATAGCACATAATAAATCAATTAAAAACTGGCTAACTGATGGATTTCAAAAAGTTATCCTAAATGGGGAATCATCATCCAAAAAGTCGTTTCTAGTGGGGTTCCACGGGGACTTGTCATTGGCCCAATATTATTTATTAATTATTTGGAAGAAAATATAAAATCATTGCTTGTAAAATTTCCAGATGACACAAACGTTGGTGGAGCAGTAAACCATGCTAAGGCCAGATCAGTTATACAGAGCAATCTCGATCACTTTGTAAGGTGAGACTGCTTGACCAACGTGCATTTTAATACAGCTAAATGCAAGGTCATATATGTGATGGGTTGGATCACAGAAACCCCCTTTGGGACTGCCACCTGATGTGCTGAGACTACCTCTGAGCCTCTTTTCCCTGCCAGCTTGGGACTTGAGTGCCCTGCCTGGTTGTGCCAGACACGCTAGCCTGCTACAAACACAGACCCAGGTGTGAACCACATCCACCACAAGCTGTAGGCTTAACTGAAAACAGCTTAAGAAGTGTTCCTGTCTCCAACACTCAGGTACCCAGCTCCCAGTGGGGTCCAAACCCCAAATAAATCAATTTTACTCATAAATTGTTCATCTTCTATAACACTGACAGAGATATCCACAGCTGTTTGCCTCCTCCAGTCCCCAGGTATTAATACATACTCTGGGTTAATTAATAACTAAAAAGTGATGTTATTAAATACAAAAATTAGGATTTAAGTGGTTCCAAGTAATAACAGACAGAACAAAGTGAATTACCAAGCAAAATAAATTAAAACACGCAAGTCTAAGCCTAATATAGTAAGAACTAAATGCAGATAAATATCACCCTCAGAGATATTCCAATAAGCCTCTTTTACAGACTAGACCTCCTTCTAATCTGAGTCCAGCAATCACTCACACCCCAGTAGTTACTGTCCTTTGTTCCAGTTTCTTTCAGGCATCTCCTTGGGGTGGAGAGGCTATCTTTTGTACCAGCTGAAGACAAAATGGAAGGGTCTCCCAGGACATTATATAGTTTCTCTCTTGTGGGTGGAAACCCCTCCCTCCCCCTGTGTAGAATCCCAGCTACAAGATGGAGTCTTGGAGTCACAAGGGCAAGTCACATGTCCATGCATGACTTTGTTCTTTACAGGGACGTTCCCAGGAAAGCTCAGATGTGGAATGGCATCTAGCAAGGTCCATTGTTTGCCAAGTACTTCCATTTACTTGAATAACCCCTTCACACTATGTTGATCAAATCTGCCTTAGGTGCTTCCTACAGCAAACACTTTAAATACAAGCACAGAGCCAGCACTCATAATTTCAGATATAAAAATGATACATGCATATGAATAGGATGCATACATGCAGTAGAACATAGCCTTTGCAAAGATATGTTACATGGCATATCTAGCATAAAACATATTCCAGGTATGTCATATTTACATTCATAAGCATATGTCTATAAAGCGTTATGGGGTGCAATGTCACAATATAGACCTTGGAACAAAGAATGTAGGTTACACATATAGGATGGGGTACTCTACCCTGGCAAGCTGTGACCTGGAAAATGATTTAGGAATCCTGGTAGATAACCAGTTAAACAAGAACTGCCAGTGTGATGCTGTGGCTAAAAGGACTAAGGTGATTCTTGGATGTATAAACAGGGGAATATTGCATAGGAATAGGGAAATAAATTCTATCTTTCTATATAGTGATGTGCTCTAACAGAGTCTTGGATGAGAGCATTAAATACGTTAATTAGTTGGGAGTTGAACGTAGATCTCTGGAGGTGATTAGAGAACTAAAGCACTGCACTGTATGGGCCTATTCAAGTGACACTGTGAATATTACAGATCTCCATCATCCTGAGGAAATCTGTGGCTTTCATAGTCTAGAAATCCCTTGGTGGGTTTGTATAGACGTGGTTGCTGGATATTGAATTGGAGATGCTAAAATCAATCAGTTCTGCTTGATATCCTCTGGTTTTGAGCTCCACAGTCTAATTCTGTGTTTGCCTATTGGCTCCCCAGTGCCTTTCCCAGGGTGGAAAATGAAGCTAAGCAGGAAGAAACAGAACAGCCCAGCAGCTACTGTCGTGCTGCTGGATGACAAAGGTGGTGAAGTCATGTCTGTAGATCTCGTTCCTGCTTTGGAAATCTCAACCCCCTGGCCTGATTCATGTGGGGTAGGGAAGGATGTTGAAAAATGGCTGGGGAAGAAAACCAAGCAGAGGAATAAGTCATTTTATTTTGTTGCCAAGCAGCCACGTGGGCACGATGACAAAGGTAATTTAATACCTTTCCTAACAAACTCTATCCACCTCAGCAGACTTCTCTGTTATGGTGCTGATATTAAGATAGAGTTTGCAACTTTTCTACTTATGGGAGGGATACAATAAACTAAAGAATCAAAATCTGCCTTGGAGCTGGGAGACCTGCCTAGTCCTGCTGTCCACCATAAGGTCTGGAGCCCACTCAGTCTCTGATATTTCCTAGATCTTATTGCAAATCTAAGAAAAATGCCCTCTCTGAGTTATATCAATTTTGATAAATTAGAGAGGTTCAGAGAAGAGCTAGGAAAATGATTAAAGTATTAGAAAACATGTCTTATAGCTACAGAATCAAGGAGCTCAATCTATTCAGCTTAACAAAGAGAAGGCTAAGGGGTGATTCGATTAGAGTCTATAAGTACCTACATGGGGAACAAATATTTAATTATGGACTCGCGTCAGTCTAGCAGAGAAAGGTGTAACATGATCCAACGGCTGGCAGGTGAAGCTAGACAAATTCAGACAGGAAATAAAGCATACATGTTTAACAGTGATGGTAATTAACCATTGGAACAATGTACCAAGGGTTGTAGTGGATTCTCCATCAATGATCATTTTTAAGATCAAGATTGGATGTTTTCTCTAAAAGAACTGCTCTAGGAATTGTTTTAGTAAAGTTCTATGGCTTGTGTTACACAGGAGGTCAGACTGGATGATCACAATGGTCCCTTCTGGCCTTGGAATCTGTGAATTTGTAAAAGGACATACAGCCAAACCGTCAACACCTTTCTCCTCTCTTCACCCAGTATTTCATACACTAATTTCCTTATTTGTTTTTTAAGAAAATAGCAACGATAACTTTAAATTATCCTTAAATACCTTTTCAATATTTAAGTAGCTTTAATTTGAGGACCTAGATTTAGGACAATGCCATTGATGTCTATTCACACCTGGACAGCCTGGCAGTGTGATGGCTATGTAATGTTGTTCTACATTGCAGAGGTCTGGAGAATTTCTTTTTCTCATATTGAAAAGGAGATTTTGAATAACCATGGCAACACTAAAACCTGCTGTGAATCTTATCGTACCAAGTGCTGCAGGTATGTAAGCCTGGGGATCAAGGGCTAGGCCCGCTGGATGTAGAACACCTGCTCCCTTGCATTAGTACAGGTGGAATCAAAATCCATACTAGAATAGGGCAAATAATTCATAACAAACAATTGATTCTACGCATTTTACCTCTTTTTCTGTTCATGAATTGTTCATGGAAAGAGTATTATTTTCTCTGATTTACTTGTTATTTAAAATGATTCCCCGAAAAAACATTATTCTGTAGCTGGTTACTGAATTGTTTGCTTTGAGTATTCAGTATTCAAAATGACTTTTTTTTTTTTTTTTGGTTGGACATACAGGTGGCATAGTGTGATTTACACTCCCAAACTGAGTAAATGTTACCCTTAAATTGAGGATTCCACTACAGACTCTCCCAAATACAACCTAGAACTCACAAGGCCTGATCGTACTCTCATTAAAATCAATGGAAAGACTCTCATTGACTTTAATGAGAGATGAGCTGGGCCCTGAGTCAGAAAGGATATTACACATACTTTTACATCTTCTCTTCCCAGCAAACGTATTTCAGTCTCGCCCTCTAGAATGAATCAGGAGTCATGTACTGGATGCAAGTTCTGCTCTCACTTACACCACTGTGAATCTGTGTAGCACTGAGGTCAGTGTAACTGAGATCAGAATTTGGCCCAGTCTGTTTGAACTGTAGCACAACAGAAATGTCAGCAATTAGTAACTTTTTAAATGTCCAGTGCTATATTCTGTTAAGCACTAGGTCCCCTGCAAAGTGCTATAATGTGGTTAATCAGGAATAATGATAAGTAGTCATGATTATAAATACATTTAACTTCTCCCTCTGCTATACATAGGAAAACCTGTATCCGGCTGCTGAAGAGCCTTTTTGGGGCCCTGAAGAAAGATTATCCCAGGCAACTAAGTCACCTGTGCTCTGACTATGCAAAGACGTCCTTTCTCCACACTCTGACGCAGTGGAAAGAGGACTCAGACTGGAAACCTTCTGACATCGCCTGCTGTTTTCTCAGAGTGCTGGATGACTTCGTTCAGCACGTGGAAAACACCAGCCTGCCCCATTTTTTTATTCCAAACTGCAACCTGTTCTATAGCTTCCCTCCAAAGGAGTTGAAATTCCTGCTCGAGCGCTTACGAGAGCAGAAAGGGAATGGGTTGCAAGCATTTGCAGCCCATGAGAAATAGTTTCTTCCCAGCCATGACTTTGAGTGAACATGATCTATTGCTATGATTGTTATGGAACCAGCTAGCATTTCTTTCTCTGTGTTTTGATGATTCAGATGCCAGACTCTGGAGCTCTTCGGCAACAATTTCCAAAAGAAGCCACTGATTCTCAGTTTCAGAGTGTCCAGTTTACGATAATTTGGGGGCCTGGTTTTCATAGGTGCTGAGCACTGGCAGCTCCCCATTAACTTCTGTTGCAGTTGTGGGTGTGCAGCATCTCTGAAAATGAGATCCAGAGAATCCCAAGTTGGGTGCTCAAATATAAGGCACCAAAACCTAAAGGCCACTTTTGGAAAATGCGCCTTAATCCCTCTGTGCCACATTTGCCCATTTGTGAAATTGAATAGCAATATCTATTTACCTCATAGGACGCTGAGTAGGCTGAGTAGGCTGAGTGAGTAGACAATATGTGTACAGCAATTTGAAAGTCTAAAATGCTTACAGATAAGTGCTAAGTCTAAATTCACCTATCTGGAATTGCAAGGATAGGAGACTATTTCAGGTAATTAATCATGAGGCAGAGAATTGTCACAACTCTCCCACCTGGTTGCTGATAAGACAATAAATAGTTTTTAAACTGTTCTGTAATAAAAGGCTGATGTTTTATGTGTTTTACGTTCTTGAGGTGATTTGGGCTGCTATTGACATGCACAGAGTCGGTGTCAGAGTCAGTGTCAAGACGAATCATGCCAGTTTTCTTGTGTTTTTTTCTCTCTTTTTGTATCACAGCGAGAGGTTTACACTTGGGCATCTCAGGGCAGGATTCCTCTTGCTGCTCATCCTGCCCCCCTGACATTTGTGCCCAGGCTCTCTTATACCCCGAACCTCTGCTTGACCAGTGTGGCTTTGAGGCTGAGCTACCCATGTGAAATCTTGGCAATTTACAGGCATTCTTTTTTGAGTAATCATCTCTGACCTGGCCACATTCCAGTCAGGCTCCCTAAATTCCCTCCGTAATTAGAACGGAATAGGCTAGGACTCGCCACATAACCCCTTTCTGGGTATATTCTGTGAAGCACCTCCTGAGAGTTGTGACACTGCGGGTGCTGTTCAGAAGAAAAGGCAGAGTTGGTTTGAAGCCACTCTGGCACAGCTGGATTCTGCCTGTCCTGAGGTCTGGTGCGGCAACTGATGTAAGCTAGAGTGGTTCTGGGGGATGTTTTAACTTAGATCAGCCTCCCTATGGCTGACCTGAGTGCTACTTCCACTCCCCTTTCACTGCTCCCAGGATAGGGAATGGGTTGCAAGGAGGGGATAGTAAAGGGCCCAAAACAGCTGGGACAGCCCTAACATATTCTGGGGTCTATGCCAGCTTCTGGAGCAGCAGTTGGGCAACAGAACACTGGATGTACCCGCTGAATTCTCATTGCATCTTCACTCTAACTTTAAATATACTCTCCCTTCCAGTCCAGCCTTTGCTGCTGTTGGAATCTGAATGTTTAAAGTCTCCTAGATTACTCATTAACTCTGTGCTTTGGCTTTACTACTCTGTAAAAACTGTCTCTCCGAGGAACTTGGCTTGAAACAGCCTTTCAGTCAGGAGCTCGGCTGATATAGGCTGCAGCAATAAATGTTGCCATTCAAAGTCTCACCTTGGAATACAGAGGGCATGAACGGGCTTGATGAGAAGAGATCTCTTCTGACTCCGTTCTGGAGAAAAAAAAGCAGCCAATGCACTGCTCTCAGAAATGTACTTACTGGAATCGAAGGCAACCAAATTATGGAGAGACTGGGTGGGGCTAGCTTTATTTTAATCCTACAGGTAGAGGGAAAGAGCTGGTGCTATCAATCCTGTCGGCTGCTGAGCACCTTCTATGAGGTATCATCCGTGCTACCACCAGACAGGAATGGGTCCTTAAAGGACATGGTTTTGTGGCTGAGTAGAGGCATAGGCTGAGGCACAGTCTAAGCAGCTGTTCCTCTGTCTTTGAAGGATCTGTCCATCTAGTTCCTCCTCCAAAAGAACACTCTTTCTCTCAGTCATTTGAGGACTTTGGGTTTCAGATTTGCTCTGTCTGAGACCTTGGAACATGCACGTAGACAGAAGCTCAGCCAACAAATTTGTCATGCGGCATCGCGGCATAGGACTTAACGTAAGAAGGATGAAGAACAACTCCCCTTCCTTTGCTAAAAGCAAAAGGAGAACTCCCCCTCCCCTCCTGACCTGGATGTGCTCTGCCCCTCCTCCTCAGCTGATGTGATTAGCGCTCTTCCTCCCATTTCAATCTTCATTGACGTAACTAAAAGATACATGCAGTGGCTTTCTGAATCCCCCAACTGTACCGCACATAGCCTTCTCTCTTAACAGACTCCTGGTTTATTGTCTGACTGCAACAGCAGCATCTCCTTTAAAGCACCATGGCAGCCACTGCAAAGAGTTCTGAGCTGTGTACGGGAACTAAAGCCATCTCCTTCAGACACCTGTTTTGGAGGTTGAAATAGCACAAACAGAAGGCTGAGTGGGTTGCTGAGCTGAGAAGGTTAATGGGACTCAGGCAAGCAGGAGAGCTCCAAAGAAACCAATACTGACTCATGGATTTTGGCATATGTGTCTAATTTAGGAGGACAAATTGACAAGTCCTTCTTGGCCCCTTGCTGGTGGAGAGCCATGTGAAATATTCTGTGTTGCTGTTGAATGTGCAGCACCTTCAGATAGTGAGCACACCGGATTGTGAGGATTCCCTTTTGCTTCCATGTTTCCAATGTGGCCTAACTGGTGAAAAGGGTCGGCCAGAAACCAGGACCTCTGGAGTCTAGTCCCCTTTCTGTCTTCTATTTGCTATGTAACGTTGGACAAGTCTCCTAACCTTTCTGTGCCTCCATCTAACCATAACATGGGGCTAATATAACCTGCCTAACAGGAATGCAGTGAATCTTCATTTGTTAATCTGTGCAAAGAGCTTTGAGAGTCTCAGATAACAGGCACTACCGGAATGCTCTGTATTATCATGCATCGAAAGCTTTTCATGCTGGTGAAATTGGGACATGGGCAGTTGCTTAAGGAATGTTTGCTTATGGAAACCTCCCTCTGCCAAAATTCTGTCTGTTTGACATGACAGAAAATCTTTTGCTTCTGTCAAATCCATGGGAAATGAGATTATTTTTTGCTGTTGATGAGAATTTTTCTTGTAACCAGACAGAGTTCTGTGGATTTTAGAGGGTGTGTGAATCCTTACACTCATATAACTCACTGCCTGTTAGTACTTACACAGCTCTCTAAAGCTTCTGAGAGACAATGGCCTGGCAAACTTCACACATCTTTCTTTTGCATAATTCCTGCACAAGGTACAGCTCAGCTGAAGATTTTATATGCCACCAGAGGGCGCTGTAGCTATGTACTCTAGCCATTCGCTCACCCAGGACAGGGTGAGTGATACAGCATGTTTCTTTTATCAGAATTACTTACTTCACTGCTGGCAGCAGCAAGGCAGTTTTTAACGTAAAGCCTGTGCAGGGTGGTGCGGCGCCTTTTAACACAGTGGGGGGTTTGGTTTGGCTCTGTGAATTTGCATTGGCAGTGGCTGAATCACCACCCTTCTCAGAGCCAGGCAACGAGGAACTCTGTTTGTCAAACTGTAACAGGCCATTTATTTAGCACTTTTCAGGCAGCTTAAAGTGCTTTATGTTAGACGTGGAACACAGATCTAATAGGCTGGATTGCAAGCAGGGAAAATATCGCTACTGGCATTCTGTCTACCCTCTCCACAGCCATTCTGCTCTCAGTCAAGTGCCAGGCTGGAGAGAGAGATATGTACCAGACAGGGCAGATGTCCACAGCTGGACTAGATAGGTTAAGACATGCCCATCTCTCCCTCTTTTTCCACAAGGCACTTATTGGCTAATTAATTTAATAAGCTATCTGCATTTCTGGGTAGCATACCACCATGGTGCCTAGGCCTCCTGCTGCCCGGAGGGCAAGGAGGTACCTTCTTTGTGCCAGGGAATATCAGTCTTAACCACAGCACACACAGGCAGAGATATGAGAATTATCTTGAAATTATAATACCCCTTTCTTTCCAAGGATCCCAAAGAACTTTACAGACTGGACATAGGAAACTGTAAACCCATTGCTGAAATGCAGCCACCTCTGACTGCAACGCAGTAGCTGCTTAACAATGTGACAGAAGGGAAGGTAGGGAGAGAGAATTTAATTACCCAGAGTGGAATTTTGCCAGACTAATATCTCTGTTTGTATGCAAATTGCCATTGGAACTTCAAGGCCATATTAAGGTACTCTGCAATGCACAGTCTTCTTTTGGGGTGGCACTGGCAGGGCCTCCCAGAGCAGTGGATCTAGGCATTAATACCCCTTAGAGATGAATGGGGCAGGTCACCTCTCTCAGAGCTATTGTTTCAGACTGTCTGCATACTCAGGCAGACACTATTTCATCAGTTTCACATGAGCAGCTGGATTCCCTAAGCATAGCCTACAGTGCCTATGTCTTAATGCCTCAGAATCTTAACGGAGTACAGGTGGCTGGCTAAAAAGCCTCCTTTTGACATCACATCTAAAGGCCAGTACCTGAGGCCTTTCTCCCTAGCATACCAGAGTGATGGGCATTTTAGTAAAGGATAGATTAGATCTTTAGCACGTGGCTGAGGCACTGGTTTACTACTGGCTTAAATGAAAGAGCACTTTCCCCAATCATCATTCCCAGCTCCTGCAGCTCCCCTGTATTTCCTTGGAGTGCTCCCATTCAAGTACCGTCCAGGCCCATCTCTGTTTAATTTATGAGATCTGACAAGGTCTTCGTGCAAAAATTATAACATGGCTGCAGACTACAGGCTATCGTTTTAGTATCTGAAATGCCAGCTTTCTGACAAAGCATAATATAGTGTCACCTTGTATCTGTGTTTGATAGGGAAACCCCAGAAGTCACCTCAGATTAAAAAGGGGAGAGTTTAGACTGTTAAATGTATAAAAACAAGGAGAAAAGCAAACAGTTCAAGCACAAATCTCT